TATTATCTTTTTTAAAAGTTTATTTTTATTTATTCTGAGACAGAGAGCAAGTGGGGGAGGGGCAGAGAGAGAGGAGACAGAGGGTCTCCACACTATCAGTGCAGAGCCCAATGTGGGGCTTGAACTCACAGACCATGAGACCATGACCTGAGCCAAAATCAAGAGTTGGACACTTAACTGACTGAGCCACTCAGGCGCCCCACTAGTTATGTTTTCTCAAGCAAGTTGTTTACTTAGGGTTTTCTCTGCTTTTTTTTCCTGTTTTTCTCTGTTTTCACTGTACTAAGAGCTTACATGACATATATTACCGAAGGTTCACAACTATTCAGTGCTATCAACGTCCTCCTCCTCCTCATCATTAGCATTGTCTCCACTTTACGGAAGAGACAGAGGTTCAAAATATTAAGTAGTACGCCAAGTTTTACATAGGTAATAAATAATAAGATTGGCATTTTAATCCTGGCAACCATTTCCCAAATCTGTGTTCTTAAAACCACAGCATCATTTGCTCTGTCCAGCCTGGAAGGTGGTCATGAACATGAAACAGTCGTGAAAGACACAACACCAATGTAAGAGACCACCAGGATGCACGTTTCTGCTTTCCTGCCATGAAACCAGACCCTGTCAGGTTCACCTCAACTTGATTCCAACCATCCAAACTGGGACTTCAGAAGAGGTTTTTTAGCAGATGTATGCCCAGGGGCTCATGGGTCCACTGGAATCGTTGGCGAGGTATTCAACACACGTGCAGATGTACATTTTTTTTTGAGGTCAGTCACCCAAAACATTTATGAAGTTCTGGTAAGAAGAAGCCTCTCTCCAAATAATGATCCAATGAAGTGGATTAAGGACAATAAAGGACTGAGTTCAGGAGAGATTTTTAATTCAGTCTGGTCCCAAGCAATAAGCAATAATGACCTTCTCACTAGATACTTCAGGTAGGCCAATAATGTGCTAGTCCAGGGTTCTAACTGCAGTCAGGCTCCTTTAAAAGTTATTCCTGGCTTACACCCTTAAAAAAACGCTTCCTCAGTCCTCTACATAAATTTATACATTTAAGAGTTAGGTAACCTTGCAGAGAAAAAAAGAGCCTAAAGGACATTGAACTCTGAACTATCCACATCCTTCAAATTCTGTGCAGTCTTCGACAATATTTATTAAGATGACTTGCACAGCACTGTGATCAGTATATACATTCCCCTTTGCAGTGGTTTTTCATAAGTGGTATTTCACATGAACACTTTCTTACATTCATGTGGTCCACACACTTGTGATTTCAATAACCTGATAGTATTCCATTCTGTTAACATTTCTTGAATACATTTAGGTCTCTTTACAAAACAGAAACCCTCAATTTTAGATCCTTAACTCACAGGTTTTCATTTTAAGATTTAAAAAAATCTGATATAGAAAATGCTATCAATGTATAACATAATGGTTTCCGAGCATGGGTCTTGGAACCCAACAGACCTGTATTTGAATCCCATTTCTGTCTCTTATGAGTTATGTGACGTTGAGCAATTCACTTAAACTCTCTGGGCCCCAGTTTCCTCATTGTAAAACGAGATAATAGCAATATCTCCCACTTCAAATTGTTGCAAGATTAGCAATATGAAATGCTTAATGTGTTTTGCCGAGTGCCTAGTACATGCTAAAAGCTTGGTAAGTGATAGCTACTGGCATAATAGAAACTAGAGAACAGGGCCCACCTAGGGCCATTTCTTTAAGAGGGGTGAAAACATTATTTTTTCCAAGGTCACAAAGAAAGGAAATCTGGGGAAATAAGGAAGTTCAGTTGGCCACATGTTGGTATAATTTTACTTGCCAATTCCAAGTTTGGGTGTCTGAAACGAACATTTTCAGTCCTAAAATAAGATGGCAAACTTGGGGCTGGTGCACATGAATAAATATAGCCAGAGAATAAATACACCCCGCGTGTCCCTGGCATGGTGCATCTGTTCAGCCTTACCAATCCCCACCTCCCTGCAAAGCAAATTCTTCCAAACCAAGTCAGCCCTCCACCATCAAGGAGGATTTTCGGGCACCTCCCCCAACCAAATGCTTGAACATACAAGTGAGAAGAACCACAGCGATTCTCTCTTGTCCAACTCACTCACTTTATAGACCAGAAAAAGGGAGGCTTGGGCAAGTGACGTGCATTCCCAAGGTTGCATAACTCCTGAAGAGCAGAACTGGTCTAGAACTCCTTCCTGTTATTTTATTTCAGTGTGGACCTCCTAGACTGATATTTACTTAATTTTTAATTATCTCTTTCTTTTTTTTCCTAAAAGTAAATGTGAAAGGGAACTTTATATTACTATTAGTGGAAAATCCAGTATTACTCAACTTAAAAGATAAGCATAAAAATAAGTAGCAGAACAGTGACACTGAATTCTAGCTAAAATATACAATGGTCTATCAAAAGATTGCAGCCTGAGGTGAAGCCTCTCCCCCGCAGAGAAGGAGATTAGCAAGAGTTCAAGTGCAGCTGAACAAGGACCACCAAACTTATAAATGAAAATGCCATCAAACTTTTCTCTCTGAGGGTGGAAAAGGAATGAGAAGGAAATAACTGCCTTGGCATGGTATGGGGGGTGTGAATTTGGAAACACCAGGCTGCTCCATTTTGCTTGGTTACTTTCTGGTGTCCCTACACTATTTTATGGGTCACTCAACTTAGAATGTTCCCTGGAAGCCTTGCATTTTGAGGTCGATGCTAAGCTCCAACAAAACAGTCCAATTCTTTGCTTCCCTTTTCAATCTCAAAGCTCCAGTCAAACCCTCAACATCCCTGTGCAGTTAAATTGTTCTCAGCCCACTTTGAGGCTCATTTTAGCCTCAGGTTAGTCTTGTTTGTATGCATTATCATATTCAATCTCCAATGATTTTTTCTTTTCTTTTTTTTTTTTTTTTAGTTTTTTTAAAACTTGTTTAGAGAGAGAGGGAGCATGAGTCGGGGAGGGGCAGAGAGAGGAAGTGAGAGAATACCAAGCAAGCTGCACACTATCAGCACAGAACCTGTTGTGGGTCTCAATCCCACAAACCACGAGATCATGACCTGAGCCAAAATCAAGAGCCAGATGCTTAACTGATTGAGCCACGCAGGTGCCCAACCAGTGATACCTTTTTAAGTAGACACTGCTACAATCCTCATTTTACATATAAGGAAATTGAGGCTTGAAGAAATCACTGAACTCATCCAAGTCCTTAGCTGATAGCTCAGAGCTATGTGATTCAGTATTCTATGCTTTTTTTTTTAAGTTTATTTATTTTTGAGAGAGCGAGAGAGAGAGCATGAGTGGGAGAGGGGCAGAAAGAGAAGGAGACACAGAATATGAAGCAGGCTCCAGGCTCTGAGCTGTCAGTACAGAAGCCCTATGTGGGGCTTGAACTCACAGACTGCGAGATCATGACCTGAGCCAAAGTCAGACGCTCAACTGACTGAGCCACCCATGCGCCCCATAGTATTCTATGCTCTTAATCACTGTGATATATTACCTTCCAGTCTAACTTCTATTATTTAATTTGCTTCAAAAATATTTACTGAATATTTCTTATGATCCCATCAACAGACTCAGTATAGTAGGGGCGAGCAAAGAAGGGTATAACGCAGTCCTGGTCCTTGAGTTTTATATGCCATTAATACATTCAGCAAATACTTATTGGCCTACTGCCAAGTTGTAAGCTTGTTGAAGACCCAAGACACATACACATAAAAAAGTGCATGAATAAATAATATAATCAAATACCAATATGTACGAGTAGTTGGTAAGAGTTGTGAGCAGGTCAGGAAGGAGATGCATTATGTGGTCTGGCACTACTGGGGAAGGCTTTATGGAAGACACAGCCCTTGGAAGGAGGGAGGACATTCCTTGTGAAAGTACAGAGTGAGCAAAAGGACAGAGGTGGTGGTACTAAGCCCAGGGCGACAGGAGGCTCCTTGTCTTAATTCGTGATAAATTAACAACAACAGAACAAACAAACACACAAACCAGCCACAGGCTGGCAGGGTCTTACACTTGGCTATAATTTTCAGGAATCAGTTATAACAAACCCCTTGAGAAAAAAAGTTCCTCCGGTCTAAAGAGTAGCATTGGGTCAAAGGGGAGCTTTCCCCAAGGATGCTTTAGATTTCAATTGTGTGCCTGAGAAAGTTCTGCCACTGGCATGGCCTAGAATATCAACTCAGGGGCAGGAAGCTTTCAGGCAGCCTCAGTGCGGTAGAAGGAGGAAAAAAAATCTACTTATTAGGATTGTTCGCCTGAGAAGCCTTGAGGTACACTAGCAAGGCAAGAGCTTAGGAAATAAGAACTGCTCCTTACAGTTAAATGCCAAGTGCTGTCAATGACTTAGGGCTGGCTCATTATGGACCTATTTCAGCTAATCCTCCGCAGGCAACAATCCTCCTCTTTTCAGGGACTATGGAAGCCTGGGGAAGGCCATTTCTTTTCCAGTCAGGTGTGAGGGCAAAGAGCCATCCATCTTTAATAAATCTCTAGGCTCACAGGATTCTTCTCATTGTAGCTAATGCAGAATTTCTAGGTCTCTAAAATGTTCAACATCCATTCTGCCCCCTACTGATTAAACAACAACAGCAACCTGTCTATCTGACATCCTATCTCCTCTATTAGATGCTAAGTTTCTAGAATAGTCATCTATATATTCCCTTACCTGTGCATTAATTCGATCAACAACTGAGTACCTCAATTGCATGCACCTTTATGTTAGCACCTAAACACTTGATTGTACTCGTTGCTATTTGGGGTCTGGCCCTTACCTATATCTCTAGCTTCATCTCCCACTCTCCTGTGCCCAACCCTCTAGATTCCAGACACACTGACTCTGCTTCCTCATCTGACAGCCTCCTGCTTACCATAACCAACTCTTATAAGCTAACTCTTCTGCATGGACATGGAACAAATATTCCTTTCCACCTCCCCACTTCATCTGGTTAGCTTCTCTGTCTCTCTCTCTCTCTCTCTCTCTCTCTTTCTTTTTAAATCCAAAATGTGTTTATTGGGATAGTTTCCCACTCATCTTGAGTCAAGGTGCTTTTCATGCTGCTTCCGTCTGAAGAAGCATCCTTCTGTGAGCCTTGCTTTTCCTCCTGTAGGCTGGCCAAGGAAAATGGAGCAGCCAACACACAAAACTAGTGTTTGTGCCTGGCTAAAGATGGTGGTGATTTTGTAGCGTCCTGGGCACTTCCCGTCCATGGAGTAGGAGTTGGGGCTGTGCACCAGGCGCTTCTTCCTGTGTTTCCTCTTCTCCTCTTCTGGAGATAGGTGAAGGAGGCCCTCTGAGAGGGACATGTTCTTGTGGGGAGGCTGTCACTGCTGGAAACTCATCTGGTTAGCCTCTTCTCCTCATTCAAATCAGCTCAGGCCTTCCCTTGTCTCCCAGGCCTGACTCCCAGGCTAAGCCAGGTTCTTGACTTATAGGCAGGTGAGCCTCTGTGCCCTCACTAGTCTGTGAGCTCCATGAGGCAAGGATCTTGTCTGCTCTTCTTCCCAACAGTTAGTGCAGTGTCTGGCCCATAGTAAGCATTCAACATAATTTGTTGTTTGAAGGAAGGATGGGAGGGAGGGAAGGAGGGAAGAAAGGAGGAAGGAAGGAAGGAAGGAAGGAAGGAAGGAAGGAAGGAAGGAAGTGCAGTCCTTTCTCCCAGGATTCTGTAAGACCTTAAAGGCAGTGCTGGTATCTCTTGGTCCTAGTGCCCAGCACAATGCCTGGCATAAGAGCACTTAGAAAGTATGTGTTGAAACAAACAAAGAAAACTTCCCTGCACAAGCTACCACTTCAAGGTACCATGAAGGACCAAAAGTAAACAAAAAACAAACATTAAAAGGACAGACATATAAATACATGGTCCTAAACCTTATGGGGCTTTTAGTGAAAGAGAGGAAAGGGGGCAAGTACACAAATTAACCATAATACATAGTGAAAATAAATAGGTGTCTCAAGAGGAGTATAGACAAAGGGGCTTGGGAAGTTCAGTCAAGGAAGATCACATCTGAGGAAGGGGTTGGAGAAGGGGACAACACATGGCACAGGGAGATGAATGGAATGAGGCTTTAGGGAAGACGTGGCCCTAAACTCAGCAACTGTTCTAGTCTTTATCTGGAGCCACGTGTCCAGTGCGGTTGTGTAGGGCAATTCCTGGTCTGACTTGAGTGGATGGGCTACGCATCCATCACCACCTCACTTCTAAAGCTTTTCTCTATTTTACGAAGGCTCAAAACAGGGCAGACAATTTAAAAGACTACAGAGGCCAGAAAGTGAAGATAACCACAAGATATAAGTTGGCTCTAGGACCCCGGCCAATTGCAAAGCATATCGCTTGCACGACAAGCAGAGGCAACTGATTCTCAAATACTGCCAGTTGTCGTCATGTGTGAATATGGGCCCTCTGGAAGGATGTCTTCCCATTTTTCCCCCAAGGAGAAAACAGAAGTCTGGATTCTTTGGTGAAAGCTTCCGATATTCAAATGTTGGCAACTAATTCAATTTTTTGGTTCAAAAACTACCCTTTGGTCAACCAAAACACATCCATGGATGGCATGCAGACCTCAGGCTTCATGCAGCCATGCACAACCGGTTTGCAACCTCTGGCCTAAACAGATTGGACTCATGAAAATTCAAACTGCCATTTTGCACCCACAAGATTAGCAAATGTTAGGAAATCTGTTCAAATCAAACCTTGCCAAGAAAGTGGAGCAACAGGAACGCTCGGATGCAGCTGCTGTGGGTGGTGACTGGGACAGCTACTCTGGGAGTCAGTGGAGTGATCCTGTAAACATAAGGATTTGCACATCCTATTACCTAAAGTTCCATTCCTATGCATAAGCTCTAGTAAAATTGTTGCAAAAGTGCACAAAGAAGCATATATGGGAATATTGATAGCTGCATTATTATAGCAAGAAATTGGAAACAAACCAAATGCCAATTTCCAGAAGAATATATAAACTGTGGCGCACTTGTAGAAGAGAATGAAAATAACCAAAGTGCTATGGATTAATATGGATCTGATGTCTGCAAGGATTAGGTTCATGTGACCTCTAACGTATTTCCATCTCTAAAATGAAGCTTTCCTAGATATTACTAACCTCCTGTTAGCAGAATTTTTATTCATTCAACAACTATGAGCATCTATATACCTGGCACTCTGCTAAATGCTGGGGAAGCAGTGGGGACCAGACAGAAACTGTCCCTGCCTTTACAGTGTGGTGGGAGACAGCAATACACAACCAAATAGGCACATAGAGAGTCACAACTGATGGAAGAGCAGGGTGCTCTAAGGGAGCACAATAGAGGAGGAGGAACATGGTGTAGACAGCCAGGGTGGGCGGGGGAGAGTATAGAGAGTCAGGGAAGTCTTTTCTGTAGAAGCGATATTTAAATTGAAACCTGAGAAGTTAGCCAAGAAAAGAAGGCAGAAAAAACACACCGGGGGGCCTTCCCAGGGAGGGAACAGTCCTACAAAGGCCCTGAGTCAGGAAATAGCTTAGATGCTCAGGAACTGAGAGAAGCTCAGTGTGGCTACAGCATTGTGCACTACCACTCCAAGGCCTGCTAGCAATGAGGAATAATCGGTGTTCATTCTTCTACCCATTTTCAAGATGGCTGGCAAGCCAGAATAATGTATGAAATCTAAATAACAAAACAAAAGTAACTGGCTTTACCAGACAAGCTCTTGCTGCCTTAACATGGAATTCTACTAAACTACCCATCAGCTAGAAATAAGAGACTATGAGGTAAGCTCAAATGTCTTCCCTCTGCTTGTGCAAAGGGACCACGGTAAGGCTAAGTCTAGACATTCAGAGGATGAGAGTTCATGACACAAAATAGTTTCAGCTTTTGAAGATAAACAAATTCATGTGAAACACTCAGCCCCCTGCAAGAAAGCCATTACAACCAATGATTGCTTTTCTCATGGTTTCTAATTCACAAATTGTTGTACCTGTGCACCATTTCCATATATCTCAACACCCATGCATACACATCTACCACCTATATACACAAATAACATCAGAATCTAATTTAAAAAATTTTCTGTCTTCACTGAGGCAGGCTCAGTGATTAAGTGTCAGGTGGCTCAGTTGGTTAAGTATCGGACTCCTGATTTGGGCTCAGGTCATAAACTCACAGTTCCAAGAGATCAAGCCCCATGTTGGGCCCCATGTTGGACCTCATGCTGATAGCACAAAGAACCTGCAAGGGATTCTCTCCCTCTCTCTCTCTGCCCCTTCCCCACTTGCTCTTTCTCTCTCGTTCTCTTCTCTCTCTTAATAAATAAATACAATTAAAAAGTTTTCTTCTATCTTCACTGTTTAATTCTTGCTGGTTTGGCCATGAAACTTCAACTGAGCACAGCTCACACTACAGTTCAACTTGTTTTAAAAATTTCATCTCCTAGGTAATGGGAATGGGGCAAGAACAGTGGCCCTTGCAACGGTTCCCCAGGGACCTCACAGTGTGGACCACCACCTTTCAGGAACAGGCAGGCAGTGTTTTAATCTCAGTAGTGGTTTTTGCCAAAAGCTCTCCATAACTAATTTTGCAGTCAGATTCCACAAGACCTATTCAGTGTCTGGCTAAATCTCATGGAACATCTCATTTCCTTTCAATTTTTCATTAGTTTGAATTAAAAATAAAAAAAGCTAACAAGCGTGGCTTGCATGGATATTTCTAAATTAAAACACAGCAGCATTCTTATTCGTTTTGTTGTTTACAGGGCTGACCCCCACCGCCTGCTCTCCCCCAGTCTGAACCGCCTCCAGTTTTGCAGTGACCTCTTTGTGCCCTTGGAGAGTGTGACTTGACCTTGTTCCAAGCGGAAGATGAGGATAATGGCTTCCTTCCTATCACACAGTTCTTTGATTTGTTAGGTGCTGGGCAATGAGCATTTGTGTCCTAATCTCACATTCATAGCTCCATTTCTAAGGGATCTAAATGAAACTAGTAAGCAAGAAGGGGTGGGGTTCAGGGAGGATGCAGGGTAGAAGTGTCTTGGAACTTTGGACAAATGAATTATCTTGTAGGATCCACACCTGAAACGGGTGTGTCTGTGAGATTTCCCATGGAAAGAAGGTAGAAAATACTGTGCAGTCTAGTCATATGACCTCAGTGCGTTCATAAAGTCTCCTGTTTTCTGCTCCCAGATTCCTTTTGGAGGTCAAATTTTCCTTGAGTTTCTAAATACTGCGTGTCTTTTGATCTTCTCCTACCTCTCTGACCACGTTCATTCATTCATTCAACAAATTTTTTAGCACCTCTTAAGTGCCAAGGATTGTACTAGGCACGAAGATTATTCTGGTGGGATGGGGTAAATTATTGCCGCCAATCACACACTCCTACCACATCTCTATAAGAGAATTACATGCTCACCTAGCACCCTGCAACTTGCTATGCTTTCTGGAGGTTACTTTGGACTTGGCTATGGGTCAAGCTCTGGCCAATGGAAGGAGGGCAGGCATGGTATACCCCACATCCAGGCAGAAGTTTTAGAGGCATCACCTGTTCCTGCAGACCTCTTGCTTCTCCTTTCCTCCCTGAAAACAGCGTGTCCCAGCTGGAGGTGGGTTCTCTCCACCAAATCCTGGAGTGGGAAGACACATGGAGCAGATGGCTGCCTTGAACAGAGTCACTGCTGACCTACAGTGCAACATCCATGTTACAGGAGTGAAAAAAAGTGTCCATTGATGAAAGCCACAGAGATTAGGAGGTAGTTACTGCAGCAAGCCAGACTGATGCACTCACCAATGCAGTAAAAGCAGATTTGACCCTTGCTGTTATGGATCTAATAGTCTAATCAGGGGAGCCAGACAACAAAGCAGATGAACCAACTAATAATCATGTAAGTATATAATAAATCCCTATGTTCACACTAACTCCTCTTCCTCACCCAACCAAATGTAGCCCCTGGCCCTCCTCTGTTATGGCCACGTTCTCTCCTTTGACAACTCCATCTATTCCCATAGCTTCATATCTCTTCAAATGACCCGTTAATCTAGTTCCCTAGTCTGGCCAGATCCATGTTCCCAGCAGGCAGCTGGTTATCATGTCTGTAGGATCCATTTGTATACCTAACCTCAGCATAATTGGAACCAAATGCATCAATTATTTCTCATGGTTTCTGTGGGTCAAGACTTCAGGAAGAGCTCAGCTGGGTGGCTCTTCTCTGGGATCTCTGAATGGTGCTGGAACAATGAGGGGCTGCCCCCATAGGTCTGTTCAAGCATTTTCTCCCTTTTTCTGGGTTTGCTCTTAGGGTCTCTCTTTGTGGTTTTTCCATGAGGGCAAGTTTGGGCTGTCAAA